GAGAGACTATCAGAAATTATTCTACATAAAGAAGAATACATTAAAATATATAAAAATTAAATGCATGATCAAAATAAAAACTGCGAAAAAATGCTAATTTTATATTAAATAATAATTATAAAATATAAGTGTATAATATATAAGTTATATTTCGAGATAATTTAATCATAATATAATAACTACTATATATATACACATGAATATAATATATAATGAACAAACTATTTATAAACACAAACAACAAAAATAAAATAAAAAAACAAAATTTCATACGAAAAATATCATCATAAAAGTATAAGCAGAGTCTTAAACTAAAAAATAAACACTGAACACTAAACCCTCAAAACTGAACTATGAAACATGCACCCTGAAATCTGAACCACTAAACCGTGACCCCAAACCCTAAACCATAAACACTGAACCATAAACTATATATTAAATCAAAAATGTCTTAAATATATATACATCATGAAAATATATAAAAATCTACAACATTAATTTAAAATTATAATAAAAACAAAAGCATGGAAAATATAATTTAATTATTACTATATTGCGAAAAAAAAATATCCATTACATAATGGGAAGAATCAATATAAAATGATTGAGCAATTATATTAGTATTATTAAAATTAAGTATTATGTAATATTAACCATTTTTCGTTAACATATATAAACTATTAAATACACAATTATTACCCATTTTATTATGTGCTCCTTAAAAATATTTGTTAAATATTTTATTCATTATAATTGTAATATAAGAGAGATAAATATTAGTTTATATCTAAAACTTTTTATCGTTATGTATTTAATAATATTATTTGTTTAGGAATGTTTAAAATATATTAAAAATTCATAAGAATATTTTGCTCCACAAAAGATAATTAAGTGTATATAGGATTAATTAGATGCATCATAATAAATAAAAACAAAGAAAATATAACATATTTAAAAAAATATATTTAAAATACAATAATGTATGAAGCTGTAATTAAAAATAATTCATTCAATAAATAAGAAATGTGTATTAATAATTATGTATATAAATATCAAACCATAGACTTAGTTAATATACTTCTAGTAATATTCTAAAATACTGAATCATTCATAAATGATTTGTATCTGACAGAAATATAAATCTTGTAACGTGCAAATATATTATTTTTTTATGTTTTTGCAATATCATATATACTAACAGAAATAAAAAAGAAATACTTGTAATATAATGAATGTTACGGAAATCATTAGGATCGAACATAAACGCTATAATTTTATTTTTCTCTAAATTTTATGTAATAAACTTTAAACCAAAAGGATTTACCCTAAAGACTGTGCATAGAAAATATGACAAAGGTTATAAAAACAGCGTTATACATTTTACCAAAGAAACTAATTCCATAAATAAATTATAATATTTATATATATTTATTTATAAAATGCATTAAATGTTTATTTTTATGTAATTATTTACAATTTTAATTTTTTCTTTTTAGGAAACCTGCCAAACTATTATATCCAAAGCGTTGGAGAGTGATGATGTTCTTAGTGTTTCGAAAACACCTATACTAATGAGTTTGTGTATTTCTTCGCATAATCTTAATTTAAAAGAATATATTCTTCCGCCTTTGTTAATTCAAGAATGTTTTATGAGAGAAAAATTCAATAATAATATATCAGAATGCTCTACAAACAAGGATCATATTACATCGTTATTAAAACAATGGATAAAAGATAAAACTCAGTATATTATAATCCATAATGGAGCTCTTCATAATACTAATATTTTATCTCCAACGAAAATTGTTTTTTCTGTTTGTATATTCCTAACGACAATTGTTCTTCTCATCTTTTTTATTATATATAACGTAATATTAAAAATTATTAATATTTTAATGAAGTATTAAAGGCATTTTAATTTTAAAATTATTACATTTAACAATACAAGTTATTTTTTAATTATTTATTTTCATTTTATAGATTTCCAAAATTAATAAATTTATAAATATTACATATTATAGAAGAAACTTAATGAGAAAAATTTTACATCACATTCATCATTTTAGAACTAGACAAGATTTTCCATCATGTTCAGGAAAAAATAAGACTGATATAATTTACATATCAGAGACAAATACACAAATATATTAAAACGAAGCGATCCATATCTGCTTATTCTACAATATAAAAGTAATATTTTCTAATATTCTTGTGCAAAATTCAAATGACAACAGAAATATATTAGAACAATACTGTATTTTAGTATATAAAAAAATGTAAAGAGTGATAGGAATTTTTAAAATATATATTTAGATTTCTGTGAATACATATATGTTTTCCTAACAAAAAGAGAATATATTGTAAATATAAATATTTAATCTATTATTTTATAAAAGTGTTTTTATAAATTTCATTTTATTTAAAGTTACAGTAAATACATAATAAAATATATACCCTATATATAAAGCCCATTTAAATAATATTTATATGTATTATGTAAATCTTTTTTATTTATAGCTCATATTAATTAATATGTTTAACACATTATCACGTCTATTATAACTTTAATATATCATTGCTTAATTTTAGGTACTTTTATTTCTACATAAAGCTAATCTGATCTATGTACTCTATAAGATAATTGTCCTATTAAATTCATGATTGATGCATATGAAGATTTTCCTTAAAATTTCCCTATTTTTCTAATGATTATAATTCTTCATTAATGTTTATACTAATGTCGTTTATAATTGAATAAAAATAAATAAAACAAGATTTCAATAAAAAAAATGTGTGTAATACCACTACATGTGTTCATTAAACATATATGTAATAAGGAAGTATATCATTAAATATATTATATAGGATAATTAACAAATAAGAAATGTTATAATTTAAAAAATTTCAAAATAGTTAAATACTCCAAAAATTAAAAAAATTTATTAAATATATAATAATTAATGAATAAATTTTATAAAGTTATATCATTACAGTTTCCAAAGTATTCCTATTTAGCTATTCATAAATGCTTGTATTAATTTTTGCTTTCATCTGTATAATAGTATATATGATATTTTTATAAAAATTCGTTAATTTATCACATAGGCAGTGACATTAAATTATATCTTCATCACTGACAAAACATATAATAATTTTTGCTGGTTGTTTATTCATTATATTTTTATTTAGGTAAATAAATAAAAAAATATATATCATTTACATCATTTATGAAATTTAAAATAATAGTAGAATTTCTATTGCCACCAAACTTTATAATATATAAAACTGATTCTTTTTTCAGTTTTCGCAACTAATTAATATAATGGTATTGTTTTGTGCTTGTCTGTATTATACCTATAATTACATTTTATAATTGTAAACTTATAAAAATATATTGCAAAATTTTCAATTACACTATATGTTTACATTGGTGTATATTTTAATTAGAAATATATATATTAAATATATATGTATTTTTACATGCATTTATAATATCCTTAGATGTATTTTTAAATTCATTAATATAATTACATAACAAGTAAAAAAATGAATACACGAATATTTTCTACATAGTATATACTTATATTCAATTATTACAAAAAAATTATAATACATATAATTGATTACATTCGAAGTACTTATATTAGAATATATATTGCAAAAAAATACATACAATCAATGTTATATCCATAAAGTTAACTTAAATATATGCACAATGCGAGGAAGTGTTATTTATATTACTTCGTTATTTAATATATATATACTCAAAATTTAAAGCAATGAATACAAAAATTATATAAATATAAAGAATGCGTTAATTCCCCCTATATATATTTTATTACGGATAAGTTAAATTATATATAATATAAATACATTGATTTAAAATTTGCACAATATTTAGGTATATATAATTTGTAATATTGTATGAATAAAATTTATGTATGATTAATACTTGTGAATTTATAGAAATATAGTAATAAATGCATTAAATAATATAAATAACTATAATAAGAGCATTGACTTAATAATATATGTACAATAAAAGGATTATTTACTTTTGCTAGTTCAACCCTGTATTCAATTCCAAGTGTTTTATAATTCTTATTGGTAATGTAAATATTCATTCTATAAAAAATAAGTTGTATGATATAAATATATGCTTCAGATGTTAAATAAATTACTATTAATTATATATTAAGCAAAAATAATCTATAATGTTCATATGAATCAAATCTATTAATGACAAAAATTATTTTGTATAATTGCAGTAATTTGACATCTGTAAAACTGAATTCTACAGTAAACATAATTCTATGAATCAGATGTTAGTGTCATATACTAAAATATATATCATATAGGATGAAAATGATTTTTAAAAAAGATTGTTTGTTTTTTTGTAATATCTTGTATATAAAATATATATAATATAAATTATATGCGTGTACATTTTTCATGTATATATTTAATTAGAATAACCTTTGCTTAAATCCCCAAATTAAATGTATTTAAATGTGAGAATATTATATGAAATATTATGTATTTTAATATATAAAAATATAACTTGTTCTTATAAATTCATTTGTTTTATTTTATATAAAATATCAAAGTCATATAAGTTTTTATCATTTCTTTTTATACTGAAAAATTATATACATATGCTCAAATATGCGAAGCATAATATTGTACTATAATTAAATAAAATATTGCTTAAGATTTAACAGTTTTGGAACATTTTCAAAATGAAATTAATAAAGCGGAAAAATTTAGTATAAAAATGCAATTATATTTCTTTTCGTTATATCAGCTTTATGATTAAATTGTGTTATAATACTTTTAATTAATAATATCATTATTATATCGTAAGAACACGCTTCTATGATTCTTTGATTAAATATATTTTAATAAAAAAAAAAAATTTAATTATTTTTCATAATTTTGTTCTTAATAAATTGATTTACGAAATAATGTATATTTTTTGAAAAATATAATTCATTTATATATGATAAAACATAATTCTTACATTCACTACTGTTTTATTTTTTCGTATTATTTAAAGATAAATAAATTATAATAAATATGTTTTAAAATGGAATGATACACAATACTTGATAATTTATTTTATATATCCATGTGTGGATATCATAATTTATCTATTCTAATATTATTTAAAATATTTTCAAGTATAATATTTAATAAATGAATTTGATCTACAGATATTATACTATAAATATAATCCTATATTTTTATATGACAAAAAAATAATGATGGATACTTGATGTTAGAATAAGAATTTTTTAAATAATAAAGATATATGGATTCTTATTTTTTACATAGTCATCATAATATATAAAATAAAAGAGTAAAAAAAAAGGAAAACATCAAATTAGTATAAAACATTATAATCATAAATCATGCTTATACAATAAAAAAAACAAATTTACATAAATTAAATCATTCTAAAAGTACAGTATATTTATAAAAAAATATATATGTAATTATATTCTCTTATGTAACTTATAATGATATTATTATTGTACATGTGATATTATTGTTTGGTTGCACCATTCATATATTTATATGTTTATATACATCTTAGAATAAATTTTAATTTATTCGTTCTTATATTATAAATAATATTCTATGAAACTTATTTTTATATTAATTCTACTTTCCTATATCTCCACGAATTACTAACAATTAAGAGGATGTCACAATGAAAAGACGATTGTGCCATATATTCTTATTATTATAAATTAATGTGATTCACTATTAACAAAAAATTATGAAGATACCTTAACAGTATTAATAATTGTATCAATAAACAAATTATTATATGAAATATAATAATGTAATATAGTTTAAATTGGGAACGAATATAAGCACTTAAGGAAATGAATATATATTTTGGTAATAAAATATACACTGATTTATTAAACATGTTATAATTAGATTATTAAAGAATTATAAATTATGATTAATTTTATATGATATAAAGAATTTAATTTATAAAATAAATTTCATATATTCCTTAGAATTAATATATAAAATATTTATTAAAAAATATATATGGAAATATTAATCCATATTTAATAACAAAGTATTAAATTCAGTGAGTTAAAGATTTATTTGCAAAAAATTTATATAGTATACATTTAATTATATATATGTAAATAATTCTGTATGTATATAAAATTAACAATATTTAACATGATTCATTACATAAAAGGAGAAAGAAGTTATAATAATTCTTATATTTTTATTCTCCTATACATACTCAATTGAATTAAATTATGTATGTCAATTTATTTTTTACACTTAAAAATCTCCATTCAAAGTATTTAGAAGGTATAATTTTATTTAATAATATAGTTAAAAAAAAAATATATATATATAAAATTAAAAAAAATATGTATAGGAAAAATATTTTTGGAGTATGCAGAATTAATTTAATATCCGTTATTTTATATTCTATAATTAATAAACTATATGTTTTGATATTTGTATACTTTTGTGATTTTATATATTATGACGTAAAAAAAAATATATTAGAAACAAATGTAAATAAGGATAATAAGGAATAATATTGTTTATAATACACTAATATATCTGTGGGAAATGTATTATTACATTTCTTAAAAAAAAAATTTTTCTATGGAATAAATAATATAATAACACTTTTATATGTTACATATATGTATATATATATATAAATTATTTATTTATCATTATGCATTAGGCTTATATAAATGGAATAATATATTAAATCATTTATATATGTATTGCATTAAATACATGAAATTGCCATACTGTGCCTTAATAAATTATTTTGAAAAGATACTATATGTTTTTATATTCTAATAACTAAATGAATAAATAATATACCCCTATAATCATTAAATTTATAATTATTTATATCAAATTATATTTAACTTTATATAAAATGAAATAAATAATAAAAATATAATAACTATATTTATTTTCAATTTAATAACATATATTATCATTCGATATAATTTTTAATCATTGAGAAGTTTAGAAATA